GCAAGGGTAGTACCAATAGTAATAGGCACCTTGGATGCAATCCCAAAATAACTGGAGCACCACTTGAATACCATTGGCATTGACAAATTCACCATCAATCAATTGGACAAGGCAGCTTTACTTGGAACAGCTGCCATCATGTGACGATATCTGTAACACTGTGAAACATCCAGATTTGCCTATCCCAGGTCTTTGGACCTGATAGGTAGAAAAAAATGCCAAACCCAGTATGAACATCTGGCTGACTGTGTGAATAATAATAATAATAATAATAATAATAATAATAATAATAATAATAATAATAATAATAGCCAGTCAGTGATATTTGTGATATATCTTTAAATATTCAGTTGACTGAATTTCATGTTTAATGAACAAAAGAGATAATAATAATAAACACTACCACAAAATGTAAAACAATTATAGTTTAACCATACTCTTGCAAATAGTTTCTTAGTGACATACAGAACAGTTGCCACCCTCATTTGCTGGAATCTCATCCTGGAAATTATTAATTATTTTTATGTTACTTTTGGAAAACATATAAATCAGCATTCATTCTCCAAGCATAGGCTGTATCACAGCTTTAAGGCACCATGAGATTCACTGTCATTTGTGCACTGGATTTTGCCCACACTTTTGTATAGTACCACTCTTAGACCGTTCGGCCTTTTCTGTTTTTAATCTGTCTAGAATAAAACCACTCCCTGCTTCAACCCTTATAGTCGTTATTCCGGATGATCAGCTGTATAGCTTTAGCATGCACTAAAAGGGAGTATTACTATCATCTTTCATAACTCATTAACTCTCGGGTATGGCAAGAGGGCACAAAGGAGGAACCCTACCATGCCCTGAGCATTGGCATAAACCTCAAGCGCTTTTAAGATGTGCAAATTATAATTCCTGAATTCCGACGGGCGCGGCAACAAAAAGGCCTGGGTTCACCAGCTGTTGCTGCCTTGGCAAACCTCCTACCATAGAACTAGGAGCTGAGGAGCAGAAAGGGAGTGGGTGGAGCCCCCCACCCCGAATTAAAACTTCGGATAAAAAAGGGGCGGTCCCTAGGCTGTGTCGAAAGACTGACGATTTCTCCCTTCGTACGGGGGAGGAGCAGATTGGGCCAAAAGTACGGGAGCAAATACACGTGCGCTACGTGCAGCGCCTGCTGCTCCCCCCGGGTCCTAGAGGGCAAGGCTCTTCTTCTGTCCCTACAGGTGGGGCTATATTCTATGCAAGGTACTTTGGCCCATTCTTTTTTTGTTGGGTCAGTGGTTTCAGTCCCAACACTTTGGTAATACATGGCCTACATGTGGCGCTCCTGTTTTATCACCGCCTTCGTACAAGAGGAGACCACTGGTAGATGCTGATGAAGGAGGGGTTTGGACTTCGTCCACGGATCTGGCCCTATCCTATGTAGGCTGTACTTCCCTTTGATAATCTGACACCAGAGAGGATTGTCTTTTTGTTCTGCTAATCGTCTTCGAGTGGGCCGACATAGCGGTCAAGAGCCGAAGGACGCTAATCCGAGTATAAAGTTCTGGCCATGGAAGATCAATGTGAACCAAATGACATCACCTCCATCGCCGTCCCTCCCACCTTCACCCCATATTTTGCCAGTAACAGAATAGAGTGGGGTGGGATTATAGCAGGATAAGAGCTTAGACGCCACGTACCACGCTAGTTAGTGAAGTGATTCGGACAACCCCCCCCGGGCTCCTGAATGATAGGGTCGGGAATTTTGTATTTTGGATGGCTCACACCATGCAAAATAGTACGGTATCCCTGAGTTTTGTGTGAAACGGAATCAGAGACATCATTGTTAGGGAGGGCGGTAGGTAAGGATTAAAAATGATTGCATGTCAAAATTCGAAGGATTCCTGGGTGATATTGGGGGAGATGGTTTGAACTTTTGTTTACAAAGAAAACATTCCCTCACTCCCCACCCCCGAAGTGCAAAACGATTGATGATGATTAACGCCAGAAGTCTTCATATAATAGCGGCGGGGAAGAGAGCACAGGAAGAAACCTGTCTCTATAAAACTTTTTGGAATCATTCCAAAATTCCAACCCTTTTCTTCTTGAAGAATTCTGCTAATGAGCAAGGCTTAAACATCGATGAAATGAAGTAGGGAGAGGCAGACAATTCTTGACACGGTGAAAATATGAACCATTTTTAGAGAGCTAAAACTTGGTTAAAGTTGGGGTTTAAGCGCACCCTGCATAATATGGAATGTTCAAAACTGAATTGATATTGCGAGCAGCTTATTGCCAGAAGGAAAAAAGTATGTTAAAAAGCGACAGCTCTCCGGTTGATTTTTTCCGTCTAGGAACAGGGCACATTTCACATAGTGTGTCCTATTAATCGCTGCTCAGAAGTAAATTAGACTGAGATTTAATTGGGGCTTGTTTCCAGGTAAGCGGATGTATTACAGTCCCCGATGCTAAAGCTACAATCCCCCACATTTGCACATTTACTAGGAAATAAATACATCTTTCACCTTGGTAGAGGATCAAAGTAAACCCCTTTTAAACTGGAGTTGCAACATCGGTTTTTAATGATTACTCGGATCGTCCTCTCCAATCACTAGTTTCCATTGTCCTGGAGACTCCAGTGATCTGCTTGTGGTACTGAAGAGGCTTCGATTCTTCTATGCAAGCTTGAAAGCCACACATAGAGCAGCGCTCCAGTTTACACTCCACCCCCACCCCCCCGTGCAGTGATTTACACTGGAAAAGGCTTCCCCACTGCACAGCACCAGGCGCAGACAATGAAACAGCTCAGCCTCCCGCCCCTTATGACGTTTACCAAGTCTTTGGCCTATCCGAGAGAATAGAGAGGCTCTTTAAAAAAAGAAGTGCCGGCATTGAGATGGCTGTCAGCTGTGAAAGATCGCTCCGCACATGTAAACATAGATCATAAAGGCGAAGGTGGATTAGAGAGTAGAGACCTATGTGCTTGCGGTATCTGCGTGCAACTCATTACTGAGGTCTCGAGTGATCTTCCGTTGGAGGAACTCGAGCATAGCAACAATCCCATAATAGGTTTCTGGAACAAAGGCAAAACCCAAAGTTTTATATAGCAAGCAGGCCTATATGAGGAAATTACTTGAGTTTATAAGAAGCTTAAGCCTAGATATTTTTGTTCAAAATAAAATAATCTTAATATATGTATAATAAAATTGCCCTTAAGTTCTAAAAGAAGTCACACACAGCTTTAGTATCTTTTTATAAAATTGCTCTATTGAATTTACTTCTGAAAAAAAACCTAATGATTCTGCTTTGGGATAAAGTCTATGATTCTAAGGATGTTTTCCTCCCCCCCACCTTTAATATTGAAGCTTTTTATATGCCTCTCCAATATTTGCCTCTTCTTCAAAATTAGAATCTCAGCATTCTTTTGGAAACAATCTAAACCTATGTTATTTTGCACATTAAGAAGCCAAGGTTAAGACAAAGTTTATCATAATAGATTCCATGTTTACAAGAAACAAAGCATCAAGAAAAACTGCAAAGTAAAACAATTTCCAGAATCACTGAACATGCATTATGCAGTATTTTCAAGTCTTATTTGAAAATAAATGTCACTGAATTCAATAAACCTCATTGCCAAACAAGCACAATCAAATTAAGTTATGCTGGATTAATAAAAAAGAGATTAAAAACTACAATTATTGTAAGAGAAAATATGGCTTACCTTTTTTGGCCTCATCTCAATCTCCATTCTTGAATACCACTGTAGACTATACAAAGAAATTAAGTTCCTTAATTGTTCAAAATATTAATGTAAAGAAAGCAGTTTTGAAAATGTTCCATGTACTCTACCTTATTGGAATGCTTCATTTTCATAATGCCAAATTTTCTTTAAAGAGTTACAAATACATCAATCCCATAATTCTTTGCATGCATTGTTGCATCAGGTATGTATTTTTTTTTTACTAAAAGTTTTAGTTACAAAAAAGATTTCACTGAAGTCAGTGCCCTGATTACGATCCTACTTTTGACCATCTGAAAGTTGATAAAAATAGCTAATTGGTTCAACAATAGCATAATAAAACAAATATAGCTTTCTATGGCATTTCCTCATCTCAGGGTTGGTGGAGGCAGATGAATTATTATATTTGGACTGAAAGATCAAAGGGGTGTGTGTGCCAGAAATTTGCTTTTAAAGTGAAAATTGTCTGAGATTTTGGCAGGCGGCTTATTTTGTTTTCATGTGTCCTGTTTTCCTACTGTAAGTAAAGAATCCCAATAGCTCAAAAGATACAAAATGGCCTTATTCATACCAAAATAGCTACTCAGATTGATTTTATAGCTATGTGGGGGAAAAAGAGGTAAGAGGACAGGCATAAATTAAAGCTGCAGGTAAAGTATGGAATAAATCCGTTGTGCACATGGCTGCAAGAGTTTGTACACCTAGGTCCTAGGCCAAGCAAGACACACCCGTTTTCTTAAGCAATTTATTCACAGCAATTTAAGCCCAGGGCCTAGTCTTCACAGTCCCATGCATCCTCGACTGGTGGTGTATATATGCCAGCTAAAGTTGACTATATTCATTTAGTAGAAACTGGCTTGACTGAACCAGTTCGAACAATGGGAGACAGCTCGCCATTGGGCCTTTAAGCCCGGCCCTCGTTTCCAATTCGTTGCCGTGGGAGCCACGGTACCGAGGCCGGGAGCTTTTCTTCTGAGATCCTTCGGCCCCAATAGGCCCTAAACTCCATGCAAAGGAGTCGGGGGAGAGACCTGCAAGTGGGAGCATACAGCCCCGTTTTCTGTTAACTGCTTTGGAAGAGTCTTGCCGCCCGCATCCCGACCCACAAACAAAGGGGTGAGAAGGAGAAGGAGGGCTTGGCACCCCATGTGGTGAGAACGAACATCAGCCCCTAAGAAAAAGCGGCGTTGTTGGGGGGGGGGGGGGGACACTTTTCATAGACCGTCCTCATCCGCGGACTCTTTTTCCTCCTCCCTCCCTTTTGCGCGGAGGCACACCGTCCATTCTAGAGGTGTGCTGCGACGCTTTGGCTGTTGGGGGATTGTTCGGAACGGTTGCCCCAGTCGGAGCTGCCCCGTCCTGCCGGCCATCGAGCTGGCCATGGCCGAGTTCCTGCCGCCGCCAGAGTGCCCTGTTTTCGAGCCCACCTGGGAAGAATTCGCGGACCCTTTCGGCTTTATCCACAAAATCCGGCCCATTGCCGAGCGGACCGGGATCTGCAAGGTGCGGCCACCACCGGTGAGTAAACCTTGGCGACGGCCCGCGGGAGAGGGTCGACCTCTCGCCCCCCATCCCAACCAGGCATTGAACGAGGGGGGAGGGGCGGCGAAGGAGTTTGCAGCCGTACGTATAAAAAAAAAGGCTGGGGGGGCACTCGGCCCCCGGGCCACTCGGCCGCTTTCGACGGGCTCCCCCCGAGAGCCCAAGTAGCTCCCGTCTTCCAAGGCTTTCACTGAACTCGCTTTCCGGGCGTCCCCCCTCCGTGCCTCCTCCGAAACTTTCCCCCAACTCCCCCTTTCTTCCTCCTCGCACGGAAGCTTCCACTCCTCCCGTCGTCCCACGGCCGCGTCACCACGGGGGAAAGTGCGCCCTTCCCTAAGAGGGATTCCCTGCTCTCCATCTGTTCAGGGTCGGTCGGGCTCGAGGCTTCCCTGCATGGGGGGGGGAGGGGGGGCTAGCGAGGGGGGGGAGGGAACAACGGAGTGGGAGCCGCTTCCTCGCCTTGCCATCCTAGGAGGTCTTGTGTCCTGAAGCGCTTTGTGTGCTTCAGGTCGACTTGTTTCTGTAGCCCGGAACGGCTCCCCCATCCTACCCCACTCGGGTGAGAGGAGAAGAGAGTGGGGTGTCGCTTGGCCGTCCTTGTAAGCAAAGCGGGCTTCGAGGCTCGGTTCCCCGTGGGAGACCCATTAATATGGCTGCCGGCGAGCTCCCCCCCCATCGATCTCGCTTCGGTCCCCGACTCCACTCGAGAAACTCTGCTCACTCGCAACCCTCTGCGGTACGAATAAAGTTGCCTTGCGAGGTCCAACCGACGATCTGGGAAGCACAAAAAAAAAAGCTTACTTTTGTAGTGTTTCTCTTTCTCCACCAGTTTCCCCCCCTTTCTCATGCATGAAACAGTTCTAAACTGCTGCGTTGTTTAGATGAAAAGGAAGAAGTTATCTGGGGTAGTTTTTGAAGGTCCTTCTCTGGATGACTTCCCCGAGGGTCGCTAGTGGGCAGTGTCTTTAAAGAGCAGTCGAAGCTTTTGTTTCTACCCAAGAAGAGCTAACAACTGTAGGCATCATGGGTGCAGCAGCTTCAGACATGTTTTCAACTTCATAAAGGGTTTTAAAACTTTGCCTGCATGACTAGATTTATGTTTTCTTCTTGCAGGCAAGTAATGGAACATGCATGCTAGATGGGTTTTTTTTGTTTTGTTTTAACAAAATGTGGAATTCTACAAGATAGAAGAAATTGTATAGCTATAAAGAGACAGCCAGTTCATAAAGTTGGATATTTTGAAAGTAGTTTCTTGTTTAGTCCGGTACTTTGTCAAACAAAGTTTAAGCTGTGTCAAATTCTTAGTTACACTGCTGCTTTCAATATAAATACTTGGAGCAATCATTGTGTAAAGACCTAAATGAGACAGCTGCTTGGGTGTTGCCCTCCATGTTGGCATTGTGGTTGAGCTAAAGCTGAAGATTTCCTTATTTCCCTCTTTTCTGTACCTATAAAAATAATTCTGTGGCCATTCAGGACCCATCAGGCTTGATTTTAATAAAAGTATCCATATTTTAAAGTTGAAAATAAATATATTGCATTAGAGTTTGGAGAAATCTTTTCTTTTAGAATCCTAGGCAGACATGGCCACCATTTTAGAGTGCAATACATAGTGGGAAGGGTGATAAGTCTCCATCATTAAAAATATTATCAGGCAATACAGCAGGCTTGCAAGATGGTAGTTTTGTGTAAAATAGCCTCTTAATAATAGTTTTATTGTTACTGGATGTGACTATTATTACAGTTACTTGAATTTGGTGAAAAAGATTAAATATGGATTAGAAGGAAGTATCTGAAAAAAAATCACATTTTTGGTTCTTAAAAGGAGAGATACCTTACTCCTTCCACCAAAATATATCTTAATTTTCGAGACCAAATGACTTCAGGTAGCATTCATTTTAGTGAGGGGTCCTTAAAAGCATTTAATTTGGAAATTAAGACATTTTGATTATGTTAGAAGTTCTATTAAAACTTTATCCATGTTTTGTTTTGGATACATTTGAAAATTTTAACTTTTTGCTTTAATTATTATAGTCAACATAATTGGAGAAAATGGTATGTAGGACTTCTCTTTTGCTAATTAAAAAATGCTCACCTTTGTTCCAGTCAGTGATCCACTTATTTCAATAAAGTTTATTTAGAAGTAGCACTCAGTGGGATAGCACTTCTGTACATGTTATACAGCTTCTGATTTAAAAAATATATATGAAAGATATATATTTTGTAGATTCTCTATTTTTCCATATTTAAATGTGTTAATAAATCGGATAAAATTTCTATAAGTTTGTTATACAAGCCTTTATCATGTTTTACAATCACTTTAAATTCTAGTTTTTTGGAGTAGATTTGTACATGTTTGTGAGATATAGTTCCAAAACTGGGATGACCAAGTGACAGCTGAATTACTGTTACCTGGGAATTTTGTCAATTAAAACAAGATTTTAAAAATAAAATCTAGTCTATTTTAGAAAATGGACTGATAATAAGAGACGTATGTTTCATATAAATTGGTGCAATATTGTGGAGAAATAAAACTAATTTGGTTTTTTAAGGTATTTTTCAGGAAAAAAAAAACTACTTTCCATGCCTGGTCTCTGAATTTGTTGTCCCACACTATCAGAGAACATGTATTCCAATTTGAAAGTCTTTTTTTAAGTAATATCACTTATATAATAAAAGCCTAGTTGTATATAACAGAGGTCATATTAGACAATACATTTTCCATAATGTGTGGAAAAGGCTAATATGTTTATCTGGCCTGAATGTTTGCATGGATCCCTATTCTTGATTGTTATTTTTTAATAATAATAAAATGTAATAATGGAAAAATTTAAAGTATGCTGGCATAAATTAAATGTAATTTTCCTGCAGACTAAGAAGAAAATCTATCCAGCAAGGTAGAAAAAAAGTGCCCATGGATTTTTGTGAACGACTCAGTATTTCAATCTGGTCTATTTGTTTAAAATAACAATCTAGTCTCTGTTTCGCCTCATCTTGTTACTGAAAACTTCTTTTGCACCAAATTTAAATTCTTGATGCAATAGCCCCAAATGCTACATTATTTAATGATATCAGTAAAGTTAGCTGTTCCTAACTTTCACAGGATTTGTGTGATTGTACAGACTTGAGACTTGATGAAATAAGTGCAAATACGTTGATTTAAGTAAATGTTTATATGTTCTATAGCATATTATGTACATTTAATAAATATTTATATACTAGTATGCACTTACATAAACTATACACTTTTAACGCATTGGACCTGCTTAGAAAAATATCTCCTCTAAAATGTTCACGGGAAATTGATCTTTTTATTATCATAAACAGTATGTACATTCATTTGCAGAATATGCCCCTTTCTGGCTAAGAAGTAGATACCATTCAAAACTGGGTATTATTTTCTACCTTCTGCTTTTAAAATCAACAAATTTCTCATTTATAGTACTAGACCTTTATCATAGGTATTTACTTAGAGGTTATTTTATTAAGATATTGAACATTATATATTTAGACCTATTTGGAGCTATTTTATTTTAATATTTATATTAGAGCTGCAATTCATTTTTCAAAATGCTAGACAACAAAGTTTTCAAAATAAAAACCTCAAACAGATATGTTGCACTTCATAAACAGTGTGTATATATGCTAGAGCATTAAATTATTATATTAATTCCTGAAATGAGATTTTCAGTTATAACAATTGATTACAAACCCTATTTTATTGAGTTCTATGCTAAATTATTTTCCTGATGTTTCTTGATTTTGCTAATGATATCTGTCTCCCATATTTCTACTTGGGACAGGTTTCCATATGTTGTCTTCTAGATGTATGGCTTTCAGTTCCCAGAATTTCTCAACATAGTCATTGGTGAATATTCTGAGAATTAGGAACTTAAAGTATTACATTCAAGATTATGTGCTTAAATAGGATACTTCCTCATCTACATTGTAACATTCAGTTACTCAAATTGTGATTAATCAAGATGTAAATCTTGAATTAATCACATTAAATCTTGAAGCAGCTGTAGCAAGCTGGTGAATCAAGTAATTCTAGTTAGCTGTAACCAGTTTTGTTCTGATGATATGGCAAAAAAATAGTAAGGGCTCTTTAGTGGAGTTATTTGCACCATATTTGATCTTCTGATTTAAGCAGAATTTTCTATCACGTTATGCAGCTTTTTTCTGAGTAGGAATAGCTCAAATTTAAACAATCATGTCATAATTAACATAAAATCCATTTCCAAAAATGGAAAATCTGTACCATACTTTATATTACTAATCCAGAATTCCATCTAAAGAGCTGCTTTTGTTGGCTTCTGCATCATAAATGCCAGCTAATTAAAGAGCAGTTAAGTTAAATGGGAGGGGTGATGGTTTCTGTAGACTTCTGCCCAGGTAGTAAATGAATCTTCACTGCCAATCTTGAAATATTTTACAATTCTTATGAAATTATTTCTCATTGAGTTTACATGACACCTAATTTCAGAAGTGATAGGATACTTGATTTATCATTACGTATATGAAAGAGATGGCAAATTTCCTACTGCAAGTAGAGTCCAGAAGTTGTCACTGAAAATACCAGATTATAAATCATGTGACAAAAGTGACAAAATATTATTCTTAGATTATGGTTGAAAAAAAATATATTGAGAAACCATAGTTGTTGATGGTGAGGGTAATGGAAGCTTTACATTTCTCTTTGGTGGGAAGAAGAGGGAAGTGCATAAACCCAGGCAAATGCCACCTAATTCATATAACAACATATAATGGATGAGCTGTTAGTTTATCTGAATTGCCCTGGTTCTATCCCATGAGTCTCAATATCATTTGCCTCACTGTATTTTATTAGTCATAAAATATTGAAATATTTCACTTTCCTAACTACCATTTCTCTCAGAGATCTGGATTTGATTGATTGATTTCTCAAGAAAATATGTAATTCCTGCTAAAGAGATTGCTTACACCATTATGTCTTTCATTCATTCAGAGTCCTTTAAACAAATACTTATTTGCAGTTCTGGTGAAGCCATATATAGACTATATGTTGGTTTGGCTCAGATCTGTAAGCTTGAAAAGTCTTATTTTTCTTGAAAGTCTTATTTCTAATTATATTAATGCTCTCAGTTTACCTTGCCGTAACTGTACTGAGAAGATTTGATAGTTTTTATATATTGCTTCATCTATGCCATATTAAAGTTTGGAAGTCCAGTGTTTCCTGAAGGAAAATATCCATAATATCTTTTATAATATAAGATTGCATGTTCTACTATTGCCTTTAACATTTATAAACCAACCTGTTTTTTGTGAATTAGGACATGCTGAGACATGCCTATTTTATGATGAAGTAGAGAGCATCTAGTGAAGGCATCTAGAGCTGTGAGGACAGCCTGGAGTCATGCATTGCACACATTAAGAAACTTGGTATACATATAAGCCTTAAAATCCAAGGATAGAAAAATAAATATGAACCTGTGATATTATATTGGATTTAGCATTATTACATAATGAATCACATTAGTTTTTTGTATGCAAAACAATACACTGCTCAAAAAAATAAAGGGAACACAAAAATAAGACATCCTAGATCTGAATGAATGAAACATTCTTATTAAATACTTCATTCATTACATAGTTGAATGTGCTGACAACAAAATCACACAAAAATTATCAATGGAAATCAAATGTAGCAACCCATGAAGGTCTGGATTTGGAGTTACATTCAAAATAAAAATGGAAAAAAATACTACAGGCTGATCCAACTTCGATGTAATGTCCTTAAAACAAGTCAAAATGAGGCTCAGTAGTGTGTGTGGCCTCCATGTGCCTGTATGACTCCCTGCAGTGCCTGGGCATGCTGATGAGGTGGCGGATGGTCTCCTCCCACACCTGGACTAAAGCATCCCCAACTCATGGACAGTCTGGTGCAACGTGGCGTTGGTGGGTGGAGCGAGACATGATGTCCCAGATGTACTCAATTGGATTCAGGTATGGGGAATGGGCAGGCCAGTCCATAGCATCAATGCCTTCATCTTGCAACTGCTGACAGACTCCAGCCACATGAGGCCTAGCATTGTCTTGCATTAGGAGGAACCCAGGGCCAACCGCACTAGCATATGGTCTCACAAGGGGTCTGAGGATCTCATCTCGGTACCTAATGGCACTCAGGCTACCTCTGGCGAGCACATGGAGGGCTGTGCAGCCCCCTAAAGAAATGCCACCCCACACCATTACTGACCCACTGCCAAACTGGTCGTGCTGGAGGATGTTGCAGGCAGCAGAATGTTCTCCATGGCATCTCCAGACCCCATCACATCTGTCGCATGTGCTCAGTGTGAACCTGCTTACATCTGTGAAGAGCACAGGGCGCCAGTGGCGAATTTGCCAATCTTGGTGTTCTCTGGCAAATGCTAAATGTCCTGCATGGTGTTGGGCTATAAGCACAACCCCCACCTGTGGATGTCGGGCCCTCATACCACCCTCATGAAGTCTCTTTCTGACCGTTTGAGCAGCCACATGCACATTTGTGGCCTGCTGGAGGTCATTTTGCAGGGCTTTGGCAGTGTTCCTCCTGTCCCTCCTTGCACAAAAGCAGAGGTAGCGGTCCTGATGCTGGGTTGTTGCCCTCCTACGGCCTCCTCCACGTCTCTTGATGTACTGGCCTGTCTTCTGGTAGTGCCTCCATGCTCTGGACACTACGCTGACAGACACAGCAAACCTTCTTGCCACAGCTCAAATTGATGTGCCATCCTGGATGAGCTGCACTATCTGAGCTTCTTGTGTGGGTTGTAGACTCCGTCTCATGCAACCACTAGAGTGAAAGAACCACCAGCATTCAGAAGTGATCAAACCATCAGCCCGAAAGCATAGGAACTGAGAAATGGTCTGTGGTCACCACCTGCAGAACCACTTCTTTATTGGGGTTGTCTTGCTAACTGTCTATGCTTTCCACTTGTTGTCTATTCCATTTGCACAACAGCATGTGAAATTAATTGTCAATCAGTGTTGCTACCTAAGTGGACAGTTTGATTTCAGAGAAGCATGATTGACTTGGAGTTTCATTGTGTTGTTTAAGTGTTCCCTTTATTTTTTTGAGCAGTGTATTTGAATTAGTGAATATTTATAATGATTTACCAGTAGTGACGCAAGCAGTTGTTTCAGAAAAAGGTTACTGCTATATCCTGATAATATCAATCTGTAATGAATCTATTGAACTTTCGTTCTCTTTTAAAAACAATCCTAAAATATATCATTTTTCTGATTAAATCATTTTTACTATTCTCAGTAGTAAATACCCCTTTAGTGTATTTAATTTAAAATTTAAGTTGTATAGTAAAGTAGGCCACATGTTCTCAATTTTTTTTAATTTCCAGCAGAATGTCATCATTGGTACGATAGTCTCTGTTTTGGAGGTTTATGTACCAGTACTTAGCATTTTGGAAAACTGTTATTATTAATGTTAGTATTAATAAAAATAACTAAATATTGTTACAGGCTAAAATTATATTTACAATATTGTTATAACTGATTCATAACCTATGTTACAACAATTTGTAGTGATAGTGGTACTTTCTCTGTATGAATGAGCAATAAAAGAGAGACAGATACAGGACAAATAATTATGTCAAAAAGTTGGCAAAATGTTTATCCAGGAAAAGAACTGATCAGAAGGTTCCTAAATCTTTAGTAAAGTAATATATATAAGTAAAGCATTAGATGTACAGGGAGTTTTTGTCTTATAGCCATAATAGAGTATGTCTGTTAAGGTTCTAAAGCAAGTCATCATATGACTGACCTAATTTTATGGCATTTTTTGAAGCAGTCATTAAGTGAATCCCCAGTCCCTAAGCAAGCACATTCATTGCAGTTTTGCTGAAAAACAGAAATAAACTCAAAGAATGTAGTCATATGACCTTGAGATGCTGCAAATGGCCATATATTCGGGCTGGTTACTGAGCACTCAAAATGTGGTTAGGTGGTGGGGGACAGTCATCAAAACTTAAGAACCAGATAAGGATTGAAATATAACTATTTAATTGTATATAATTGACCTGTATTGAGAGGATGGGGTCTTTTGAAAATTTATTTGGAATAAATTTCAGTAGTGCGTAGGTGATTTTTTTTTTGCCACATAAGTTCATTATTTATTAATTCAGTTTAGCCCTGCTCCTTGGAAAGAGGTCTCCCAAGAGATCCACATGGTCCCCACTCTATTGCTATTTAGAAGAACTCTGAAGGCCTGGCTCTTCACCCAGGTCTTTGGCAAGGAAGAGTGAGACCCCTCCTTCCTCATGCTTGCTATATTTTATGTTTTATTGATTTTATTGTAATTTGATTGTAAATTGGGTGGAATACAAGTTTAATAAAAATATTTTTGCCATCCATCTGTGAAAGAAATACTGGTCAACCAACAAAATAAAAACAAAGTATTCCAGTAAAACAAAGAAACCAAATAAAGCTACAGCAAGGCTCAGTACAGGTAGTCCTTGACTTTTTATGGTGTTTGCAGAGTGGTCACATGGCTGATTTACGATATTTTGCTGAAAACTGGCATTTACTTCCATTTTTGGCAAAAATACTCATAGTGAATAAAGGGGAAATTTTAAAATCTTGCCTGTACTGTTTTTATGAATAATTTGAACATATCAAATACTCCTCCCTCCTCCTATTTTTCCCACAATAGCAACCATGTGAGTTGGCCTAAGAGAGAATGACTGGCCCAAAGTCATCCAGCAGACTTTCATGCCTAAGGAAGAATTAGAACTCACAATCTCCTTGTTTCTAGCCTGATGCCTTAACACTAAACCAAACTGGCTCTTGTTTAATGACCACAGCATTTACTGACTGATAACTACGGAAAAAAAGTCATAAAATTGTGTTGGTCACATGATGACCAGCTTTATAACCATTGCAGTTTACTACCATAATTGGCAGGCTGTGTTACAGTTGTGAGTTGAGAACTACCTGTAAAACTACAGAGCCACTAGCCACATAACATTTCTACCAGATTCCCCATACCAACATACCAACTCCATTGTCTGGAGGAACTGCTAGATCTTCACAGCCTTATGACAGATCAAATAGACTGGGAACTGTCCATATTTCAAACTCTTCAGATAGGTGCCATACAGAGAAGGCATGCTTTCACTGACTCCTCAGGTGACATTGTTTTAGCAACAATGCCCAGAACACGTCCACCTTGCTAGATCTTGAAGGACAGACCAAAACCATCAGAGAAAGATAATTTTGCAAGTAACCTGGTCCCATGCAGTGTAGTGTGTAGTGCTTTAAAACACATTGAAACCCAGAGGTCTACTGGGAGTTTAAATTCATATAGTAATAGTGTTCAAAAACACAGAAGATGATTTACTTTAGGTTTAATTATACAAGTTCACTTTCTGGTGCTGCATTTAAATTGAAATTTAAAACAATTGAGCAAGAACAAAAGAAAATTACTGATACTTTAATTTTTAACACAAAGTCATTTAATTACCAGATAGCAATATTAAAATATAAAACAAATGTTCTTAGTACTCCACCTTGCTCGTAGTAGACAATGGGAGTCAAAGATATGACAGTGAGCAATAATATATTTGCTTGATCCTCATTATTGTGATTTCCAAATTACCCTTGTCTGCCACAGTGCTTGTAAGATGTACCATTATATTTTTTTAGTTAAATTTCTAAATATCTGAAAATGAAGTGAGAGATGTTTCAGATCAAACTTACTATTTTTTTTCTTTAGGACTGGCAGCCTCCATTTGCATGTGATGTTGATAAACTTCATTTTACTCCAAGAATCCAAAGGCTGAATGAATTAGAGGTAATGACCCCAGAAATATAAATTACATTAATAATGAACTTCTTATACATCATAGCATATAGAATTTTGAAATTTAAATACAATTAAATAGTTTTTAAATTAGTTTTGGTTACAGCATAGATATTTCAGTGTTCATGACTCAAATTAATTATTGGTTTATTTAGAGTCTCAGTCTCAATTTGTTTCATAGTGCACATCACTTTACATCTATATATCTATATCTAATATATTTATATATATTTCTATTTTGTTATTATCTTTGCCTTTCTGATATTCTGAAAATATGTAAACATTGTAGCCTTGCATTCTGGTATCACTTATTGTATTTGCTGCCATTTCTACCTCAATAATGTTTAGTATAGTAACCAAGTTCGGGTCAGGAGTTTTATTTTTTTTTTATTCTTTACTTAAGGAAGTTTCCTTTTTATATGATACAATGTTTACTTATTTTTATTTATGTAGATTTAAAGAATTTCTGACGTTAATCAACTTTGGGTGCTTTATATAATAATAAAAAAAACTATAAAAGACATACAAAACAGAACAAAGTCTTATAAGACAAAATCTTACAGGGCCTTATCAACTACCCTGCCTCAGAGCCTCGGAAAATATAGGTAGTCCTCAACTTGCAACTAGTTGCTTAACGACTGAAGTCGTGTTGGACTCAAAAAAAGGTACTTACAACCCAGATTTGAAGTTCCAATGACCATCCCACCTTTGTGATCACACGATCACACTGTTGCTTAGCAGCTGGCCAGCATTTAAAATTGTTTGCAGTGTCCTGCAGTCGTGACTGCAATATATATATATGTATGTATGTGTGTGTGTGTGTATGTGTGTATGTATGTATGTATGGTATTCAGCTTTGTTCGGGTATTTTCCCACGTCATTATAGTTGTGCTTTTAAAGTTGTAGCAACGTTTCGGCAGAATCTCATCTGCCATTAGGCTTCTGTATTGTGTTCATCTGTGAGTCAGACTTTTACAGTTGTTTCAGTTTTAAATTTGGGGCTAGCCTACTGCTGTGCCAGAATGGTTTTTTCTTCATCCTGCTTGGTTGGGAGTCCTGGTCTGTGTTTATTGGTCTTGGAGTTTGCTGTGTTCTGCTTGATTGGTGTTTCTAATATCTTCTGTCTGTTTTGTGGCTTTTTTTGTATCTTGATTGCTGACAACATTGTGTTCCTGTATTGGAGGCTTTTAGTGTAGCTTGGCTCCGAGTAAATGGACGGCTATCATTTGTTAGGAAGCTAGGTTTCATCTGGGTGCCTGGTTGGGGTGTG